AAATACGGCTAACCTGAGGGAATGCAGGGACTGCAGTTGTGGTCACCTGCAGTTGTGGCCCTATCCTCTATACTCTCCTGGCCTCCTGTAAAAGGGTTAGCAATGGCATATTTCTAAATGAACAAATGTAATGTGGAAACCCAGAACACCGGTTGGTTGATCTAAAATGAATGGGGCATAATATATAGGTATTTTCTCCTAATAAACATGACAGTTATTTGTAAGCAATTCTGTGTCATGGTAAAATGCAGAGTTATTTGCTTTATGATTCACGTATAGGTAAAAAAAATATATAGTTACACTAGAGCCTTTTTATTCCACACTAATAACAGGGAAGGTGTACATTGCCCGAGGTGTTGGCACTGTGTACCCGCTTTTTAGGATTTCTTCCTCTGGCCTCCTTATTCTTTCTGGGTCTCTCACATCTGTACTCTCACCTGCCAAACCTGATGGAATAAGTAGATGAGGAGAGGCCCCTCATGGATGAGGAGACTCTCAGGCATTAGGTCTGTCTGGGCTGGCACCTTACTTGCTTCGGCCTAGTTTTATTCTAGCTGTGCTTACTAGCTCAAAGCCTAGTAGTCAAGCTTTAGGCACAGTGGGTGCATTGCAAGCTTAAGGGCTTCTCCCTGCTAAGCTCGGAGCTAACCTCCCAATCTCTTTCCTTTCTCAGATGCATTTGAGATTTGGAGTACTTCACAAGCATCCCTATTCCATGACCTCTGCCTCCCCTGCAGCCACAGTTCAAACCACCAGGTCAAAAATCACCCACAATCCTGGGTGTCAGCTGAACTCAAAGCCAAAAGGCTTGGTCTTGGCTTCATCTAACCCTGGGACAGCACTCTCCAAGCCACAATCAAAAGAACAAACAAGTTGCAGAACTTATCTGGTTCCCAATGTGATGTAGCTGGTCTTCTCTGTCCAGCTGCTGTCTGGAGCCAAGGGGGAAGCTTTGAATTCAGTTCCTCTGACTCTTCACAGGGAGCTTCTTCCCCTAGGGCTCCTACAGCTAGACGGCTTTGCTGGCCTGAAGCTTGAGTTTATAAAGGGTAATGCAGGTCACTGGCTCTTCTACTTCTGCCCTTGGGTCATCAGGGGCTGACTGCATCTGGAGCCACTGGCCATCTTGTTTTAAAATCCTCAGCCTCCTAGTGGGCTACAGTAGCACCGAGAAATTTGAGTAATAATGACCAAATAACTGCAGGGTTTAAGGAGAGAGAGTGAGAGCTAGAAGGGGGAAATGGAGAGGACTATGCCCAAGGCAGTTAGGGGGACACCCCAAAGGGAAGGGGCCTAAGACTAAGCACAGCAGACCTAAGAGAGGGCAAAGGGGGGAGTGGAAGGGAAGAGAAAAGGTGGGGGGAAGCCCAAGCACTCTTGCCTCTTTAGTAATGGGGCCCCTACTGGGCCCTGTTACAGAGGGACATAGAATTTTAATATTGTGCTGAATGTTTTGGGTTAGTAAGTATGGAAAAAGGAGAGACCTGGTGGTAAAGTTCGAAAACTGACAATATGTGGCATGAACTAGAGGATAGCCATGGTTGGCCAGGTGTTGGCACCGAAGCCTTTCTGGGCATGACTGGGCACCTGGAGGAGATAAATGGTTCTTCATTGTCTGCTAAGCCTTTCTAGCACAGTCTGCAATGCACATCTTCCCCAGTTCATTAGGAAAGTATTTAATCAGCATTGAAAACTTTTGTTTCTTGAGATGTTACAAGAGGTCTGTACCCTTTTGGCACAAGTGTCTGAACAGTGCTATTCCTGGTACACATGAAACAATTTTCAGTCCTGTCCAGGTACTATAAACTGGCTTGCTTGTGTTTAGCTTAAGTTAAATCAAAATAATCCATTCTTCCTGAAATGGGAATGCCTACACAGCCTTTCATACTGAATTGTGTTGAAATTCACACCTTAAATACTGCAATATTTCCATATAGACACGTCCTCTTAAACTGTAGAATTTCTTCAAAAAGTTTTTTAGTTTGTTTTCAAAGACCCTTGTATGTTATTCAGACTTTCAGTAAAATTATCAGATGCTCTTCAAGAGCAGTAGTTCTTCATGAACCTTAAATCCTATGTGAATGTGTTGAAGGTTTTCCAGAGACTTTAATCTTTGTGAATCCGAAAAGTAGATCCTTGAAGACTCATAGAGTTTTTCTGCCAATTTTCATTTAATGTTTCCTTTAGAGTTGAACACTTGAGATGTTGCCTATGTGCTTGCCCTCACTAGTTGCTAATAATACAGAACAAGGAATCCTTGGGCATTTATTCCCCCGGGGCTGTGAGAAATGGCTTTGTCTCATTTCGATTTTGGATTTGGCTTTTTTGGAGGACAGTGATTTGCTTCAGTGTTTCAAATCACTGCTGTTTTGATTCAGCTGAATCTATTTCAGAGTTTCGATGCTGTTTCAAAGATTCAGATCGGCCGGGGAAAGGCAGGCACAGCTGGGTGGCTGCAAGTTCTCCCATGGCTCCTCCAGCTGTGCTTGCCTCTCCCTGGGTGGGGGGAGCCACAGGAGAAGCCCCCATGGCTGCCCTGCCTGGCCTCACCCCTTGCCCGGCTCCAGCCTAGTCCTGGCACTTAAAAAAAAACAAACCCTCATACTCACCAGCTGTAGCAGCGGCGAACAGGGCCTCTGGGGGCTTGTGGCAGAGCCACCCCATGCCACGGGGGGCAGGGGGGATCACCCCCCTGCCTGGTACCTGTGTGGTAGCTGTCGCATCGTGCGGGTGCAGCACGGCTTGGCAGGGCACAGTGCACCATCTGGGAGTTGGGGCAGCTCCACCTGTTAGCTGGAGCCTGGCATCGCTCAGCCCCAGTGGTCCCAGCTCCCAGACAGTATGTGGTACCCTGCTGAGCCGTGCTGCACCTGCACCATGGGGCAGCTGCCATGAGGGTGCCAGGTGGGGGGGCGATCCCCTTTGCCCCGCACTGCACAGGGGAGCTCTGCCATGAGCCCTCAGAGGCCCTGATCGCTGCTGCCAGAGCCGGTGACTGCGGGGCTTTTTTGTTTGTTTTTTTAAAGTTCCAGGACTAGGCTGGGGCTGGGTGGAGCATCAGGGGTTGGGGTTGGCAGGGCGGAGGGGCAGATTGGTGAGTGGGGGTTCTGTGGGGGGGCTCTGCCACGTGGCCCCAGAGCCCCCACAGCTCCTACTACAGCTGGTGAGTGTGGAGAATTTTTTTTTTAATCTTGGACTGCTGGGGCCTGCCCGGAGGCCCCAGAGCCTCCACAGCCCCTGCTACAGCCAGTGAGTGAGGAGAGGCTGGGCTAGGTGGGGATGGGACCAGGCAGGACAGCCATGTGGGCTTGTCCTCCGGCTCCCCCAGCTATGCTTGGTGTGGGCTGTGCAGAGCAGACTTGGGTGCTGGTGCTGGCCCCAGCCAACAGTGGCAGTATGCTGTAATCCTGTGCGCAGATCTGGGGGCCCACACCCCTCTGGGAGGGCTGCAGGGCTGTGCCAGACTCCTTCCCAGGCTTCAGGCCCCCAGATCTGCGCACAGGATGACAACAGGCTGCCGTCCCTCCCCCAGAGCACTGGGATTAGAAGGGACCTCAGGGACAGATCATAGTCACTGGCCAGCTACAGGTGTTAATATCCGCCCCACTTCCCCCTCCCTCTTCTTGGTTTCTGTTTCCCTGCAAGCCCGGCTCCAAAATATCCAAAACATTTCTGAAACATTTCGGATGGTTTTGTTTAGTTTCAGAGATGTTTCAGAGCTTTCTGTTTCATTTTGGATTTGGTGTTTTGGGCATTGAAATGGGCCAAAACACCTCCAAAATGAAACTACTGCCAAAGTTTTGCATAGCCCTATTATACACATACCTTTTTGTCCTGTGATGCACTGAAGATCCACTGCTTTGGAGCAGACTCGTTTAATCAAGTCTGCTTTGCATGCAAGCTGAGGTGCGCTATGCTGCACTGTGTGCAATTGTATAAGCAGCAAAATGCACAGCAGCACATCAGCACGCAGAAAATGGCAGTGGTGCACTTATGAACTAAAGCACCTCCAATGTGTTTTAGTTCAAAAGTGCACCGCCGCCATTTTCTCATTTGTTTTCAGAACAAAGCTGATTTTTTTTCTAAGGTTAATTTGAGTTTCCACTTGAATCAGCAATGAGTTAAAATAGCTTTTTCTTGCTCATTTTTAACAGTTGTTATAAAAATTGTAAAGGAATTTATAACGTTTCTGTAAGATTTACAGCATCAATGAGATATTTTTGAAGGCCAAATTCTAAAATGTTTGGGAAGGCCTTTTCTCTAGGGATATGCATGTTTATGTGTGTGTGAAAGTTACTTAGAAATACTTTGGATATCCATTGGAAAACAGGTATGAATGATTTTAAAAAGGAAATTTATTCATGTTGTTATGGAGGTTAGGAACATACTAGACTGTACTTAAGTGGCAGATATAAACCAATTTTTATTTTCTATTGAGAAATCATTCTATTTTTTGACATCTTATAAGTATTTCTAATAATAGATTAAGGACTGAAGTTATTTTTCCCCTACAAAATTAAGATAAGTATATTCTTTGTGAATGGTCCAATGCTTAGGAATGTTTTTGTAAGTTAATGACATGAATAACCTAACACAGTACATTTTACAGTATATTTCCTTAAGCAAACTGTATGGTTTTTAATAACCTTGTAGCTATTTGATGATTTTTATACTTGCCTGTGATGATAGTTTGGATATAAATTGATATAGAATTACTTAAAATACTGAATATAAATTAAACATTAAAAAGGTGGATGCAGACGGGCTAAGCTGCTCAATTATAATCTTTGGTTATGCAGTTACTGCCTCAAGGACACTACATCCATTTCATATCATATGTCCTTCTTTTGAAAGATGATCACTGGGGTTCAAGTAACATTTCAGCACAGCAGGAAATTGCATAATTTATAGGCCTTTAAAAATGAAAAACAGAAAACTGCTTTTCATAAGTTAAATCTCTCTCTTTCTCTTTTCTCCCTTCTTCCCTCTCCTTTCTACAGATCGGAACACTGAAGGATTACTACCACTTCTACCATAGTAAAACAATTAAAAGGTCAGTTCTTTCAAGTAGAGGTACCCACAGCTTCATTTCAATGGAACCAAAGGTAAGAAAATCCACCTAGGCATATGTCTAAGGTAAAAGCCTCTTAATTTTTAATTTGAAATGTCATACCAGGAGACATTTGCCTGGGTGGCATCTAACATTACAAGAGCGGACATACTATCTGTTCACTAAGGTTCTGCTTCACATTAAGGGGAAGAAAAGACAATACCATGTTACTAACTGATGTGCTAAACTCAGAACATAATGTCCAGTGTTTTTCATGAGGGTGATGTACTGTAAGAATTTTGTTAATGTAGTCATCTTCATGTCATGCCTCACTAAGCCTAAACTCGAAAATATAACTTGAATGAGCTACTGTTCATTTGAGAACAACAGTGTGCAAATTAGCATGATAGGCCCATTCGCTCATGGTTTGTGGGTTTGTCCTTTCCTGGTAATTTGGGACCAGATTATAGTTAATCTGTTAGGTGTGTACATGGATTTAGATGCCCAAGTGTGATTCTGTTTCACTTTGCTCAAGCCCCTAAACGTTAATGCAAAAGATGGGGAGGTCCTCCTCCTCCTTGTTGATGCTGCTTTTTGACTCAAGGGTCAGATGATAGTTCATTAATGGATTTTCAGGGACTTGAACAGGGTAGAATAAAAAAAGCACTTACGCACCTAAATTCACCTAAGGCACAGACAGAAGTGGCAATTTTCACCCAATCTGGCCCCTGAAAGCACTGTACAGCCATGAACAGACACAAGTGCATGACGGCAGATGCTTTAAAGGGCCTGATCCTGTGACGATCTGAACCCTCATTACATAAAGGTTCAGATGGAGACACTCCAATGTGGAGTGCCCTCAGTAAATTCTGTCTGCACTTGCTGGGAGCAGGGCTGGACATCCCTGCTCTCAGTGCTGTTTTCAGAATGGCGGGGGGGAAAGGGAGTAGCAGGAGTTCATTCTGGGGGTTGCACAGCCAGCACTGGAGTGTCAGGCATGCGAATTCCAATCTACCTGCCCTCCCTCCAGCACCAGCTGAAAAAAAAAACCCAGACCAAACTCTCTCCGCTCCCTTCCCCCCTCCCCATTCTAAAGACAGAGCTGGGGCTGGGAGGGGGCTGAGGGAGAGTGTCTGGGGGAGCCTGCTCCAGATTGCAGCTGAATTTCCCAACCCTCAGAACCCAACAGCGAACATCCATTGGGTCTGTGGGATTGTTGTAACTCATAGTGCTTCTTGCAAAGTGGTATGAGTTACAGCGGGGAGCTGCACTTCTGTCTGTGCCTTTAGGCACCTAATTAGATGGAACAGAATCTGGCCCTTAGTGTGGTAGAGTATTAAGATTTGCCTACTATTTTCTATGAACCTTTTTATTATTTCATTTTGAGTCCTATTTTTAAATAATGAGCATTTTGTATTTGAAATATGTCACCTCAACCTATATAGCATCTCAAACTAAATAGTTTTAGTAAATTTTAAATATTAAAATTAGAATTTGGCCATTGTGTTATAGAATGGTAAAAATGTTATCATATTATATTGTTAGAATAATAATTTTTTCAACTGTAGCTTAGAAAACATGTTTGTATTAAGCCTGTCATTTCAGTAGTTTGTTACCTTTCTCCTTATTACCCCGGGAGTTTGAATTTCTTGTGTTCATCTTCAGCAAAGAAATTAATGTTTTCTAAATGTTTGAAAAAGATCTTTTAAGCTTTTATATATTATGGAAGCATGAAAAAACAGTGGTTCTCACCTGTTAAGACATATTTCAGCTGATTTTAAAGCCTATAGGTTATATAAAACATGGCATATAAAACAATGGCAATGAGAAATCTGCATTTAACTAACTTTAAAAAAGTCAACATAACTTCTATTCTGCTTTTTATTCTGTTTGTTTCAACAAATGAAAAGCAGAAAACTCACATGGGCAGTATGCAGGACACCTGAGAATTGAGTGCCACAGAGTGACACTGGCAGTGTTGCCAAGTCTCATGATTTTTGATGTTGTTCTTAACGTCTACGCTTTGGGAATGTGAAAAATGTACATTGTTCATATACAGTCCCGAAATATAGACTTTAAGGACGATGCAAAAAATCATGAGACTTGGCAATACTGCACTGGGCACATCTACACATGCCCTTTACTGTGGATTATTAGGGTGCACTAAACTAACTCCACTGTAGGATAGTACTGTCAGAGACAGTACTATCCTGCAGCAGAATAGTTATGTGTACCAAAATACACATGTAGATGGTGACTGGGGCTGCTTGGGGCACAAGGGTGCTACAGTGCAGGGGCTGCCTACGGGCTAGCTCCACACCCTAGCACCCTTGTGTCCCAGCCTGTCCCTCCACAGCACGTTGAACCAGGCTGGAGCAGCCTGGGCTGGCAGACTGACCCCCTGGGTCCCTGGCAGCTGGGGCTGCCATGCCCTGGCTCAATATGCTGTGGTCCCAGGTGCACACCCAGGAGCAATAAACTCTGGTCCAAACTGTGCTAGAGTTTTTTGCTACATGCTAATTGCATGTGTAGATGCACCCACTGAATGGTAAATCCTGAATTCCTTGTGGTGTGGAGGAGCAATAAGGCAACATAAAATGGGCAATCATGTTGTGCATTGGGGAAGAGCTGTGGTATAGAGAGCCTGTAGTGGGTTTGTTTTGTAATGGCTCTGTAAACCTGTTTCTAAGGTGTGTTTCAGGGATATGTATTGAGTAAGCTGTGGGCAAGGCTGCTGTCTATGAATACTCAGCAACCTGGATCAAATACTAACCACTTCACCGCACTTAGGGGTAGTGCAAACAGAATGGAAATCATTCACATCCCTTAGCTCCAGCATATGGGAGTCTCCTGTGCGCACAGAGCTAGTATAGTTGACTTTTGTTTTTACTTGCCCTCATCAGTACAAATGCTTCTACTAAACTCAGCTGATACATGGTCCCTCTGGACCTTTGGCAACTGTCCTAGATTAGAACTGCCTTGGGGGAGTATGGAGAGGAGCCATGGCAGAGCTAAGCAAAAAATCAGAGACATAATTGTTTCCCTGATGCCCCATCTTACTGCACCATATAGATCTCAGATAAATCAGATAAGCTGTCCCTTGCAATACTATCAATATACAAAGGTCTGATCTATTGTTGATATGGGAGTCATCATTTTGAATCATGGCACCTAGAAGCTCTAATCAGAGGTGAGCAAGCCAGTGTAAAAACAATGAGGACAAAGTCCCTGTGATGATGGCTTTTTACTGTAAGAGGCATTTACAATCTAAGGTCTTAAACTGGCAAATATGCTTGTGATTTACTTTGTACTTGTGAGTAGTTCCATCAGACTTGAATTTAGGAACACACATGTATCAAGTTACATAAAGATAGAAATGTTTGCAGGTTTAAGACCAAAAGGACAAAACATTTCAAAAGTACTGATGTACTTTTTTTTTAGCATTTAACTGTGTTGTCTAAGCTAGATCTTACCAAATAAGTTTAACGGCACATCACAGTGTGATTTCACGTAAGACATATGGCAGTGAAAATTTTAAAAGACAAACATATGCTACTTTACTTTATCCATGAGTCTTTATAGCTGCTTGATACAACTGTTTGTGGCAGACCAGATGGTAGGTGCATTTGTGAATAGGTGTACACCAGGGTTTGTAGACTTTTCAAACCGGTTAGTAGTAGCTTACTTACAACTTGGAAGCCTCTTGCAAGTAACAAAACAGCCTGCATACCACAAATGATATTTGATATGAAAGTCATTCCAGTATGTGGTACCTTTTTGTAGGGTAAGATTGATTTAAAGTTACTTATATGCCATATACAATGGGCCCAATTTTGAAGTCTTCCATCAGTTTTCCTTCACTTAAGGAAAGGCTCAAAGACACTTAAGGAAAGGCTCAAAAACGTATTGGACCCAGTGTCAAAGGGGCATTTAATCAACCATATTTAAAGTTTGAGATCCACAATTAATTGCAAAGATAAACATCACCAATTTGTTTGTAAAGTTCCTAATTTGTGCATAATTCTATAGAGTAACCCCTCCTCTAGTGGGAATGTGGGATGTAAGCTTCATAGATCTATAGTGATAATGTAAGAATGGATTTAGTGTCCTGATGCTTCCAACCTACTTCTATGGAGAGCCTTTTCTTGGGCTCTCTGAGCATAAAGAGCTAGATGCTTTGGCTGGTATGAGTGGTTGTACCTATATTGACTTGAATTACATAATTATGTGAAAATCTAGGTCTTCTCATTTAAATGAGGGTAGTTTTACTCTGAAAGAGCAGTCTTCAAAGTGGTCATAAATCAAAGGAGCACAGCTTCTGAAAAATTAGCCCAACATTTACATGCTGAGAGGAGCATGCAAACCATTTACAAAGTAGTCCATTTCTGTAGTGATCCTTGAGGACCCTGTTAATACCAGCTATCACAGGCTGTACACAACAGAAAGGTTCAAACAGCTACCTCCACTGCATCTTTTCTAGTGACGTTGTTAAATATGTAATTATTTGCTGCTGACTTACAGAAAGATAGAAGCCTCAAACCAAAAGGGAAATTATTATAGTGCAACAAGTTGAAGTGTTGAACAAAATCTATTATTGGCAGGAGACTTAAGGACCATGGCACACTTCCCTGATCTGTGTAACAGCAGACTTCCTTAACACTATTGCAGGATTCACCATAAACTCCATTTCAGGCAGCAATTGTGAGCATCTCTTTTCATCCCTCCACAGACTACAGTCCTTTTTTGGGGATGCTAGCAAGTATAAGGTTCAGGGGTAGGCAGAGTCAGCTAGTCAGTGAAGGATATAGGGAGCTAATGTAAGTCCCTACTACAGAGCTGTAGAGGAGCCTGTTCATACTTTTTGCTCCATTTTGAACCTATTTGACCTTCCTGTATAGAATCAAATTTGTGCAGAACTCCTTCATCCAGGAATAAGGAGTCAAGGATTTGCTTCAGGACTGTCTTTATTTATAGTGTACCAAAAGAAGAGGATGCCAGATGGAAACATTTGTGAAGTGTGACTGTGCTGTCAGCTACATGGTATAAACAAGCCGT